GCCATTTCCTGGTCATCACTCTGCGTTGCTCACTGTAAGACCGGTTACCGTGCAGTCATCTTGCAGGACCCTTGGAGTAGTTGCTCAGAGCAAATGGGTGAGAACTTCCCCCTCCCCTCCCCCGCAGGGACAGTTCCAGACCGCCCGAGTCACCCTTCCTTCATTATCCTACCCCGATCTCAGGGAGGGGGCGGCTCCTGCTCCCGGCTGTCCAGCTGCTGCTCCACATCTCCAGGCACCTGCACCTCCAGCAGGTTTTCCATCTGTGCTCCGCTCATCCCCAGTAAGCACCTGCCAACAGGGGAGGCAGGCGCGCAGCTGGCTGGCGCAGCGAACACCCAGCCCCTCAAGCCCTGCACCCACCTGGATGGGTTTCTCACAAGCCACCTGAACACCAAGCTCGGCCTCCCAGCTGTGCAGCTCACGCAGCGTTGGGGAAGGGGGGCAGTTAGCCCGTTTTTGGAACATATGGTGTGTGTAGTTAACATGCTACACAGAGGCAGGAGAAAAGTGTGTTAATTCACCAGCCCCTGCTAAATACGCATAAGCCCCGGGTGCAGACTCCCGACTCGTCTGTGGCCAGGGAGACGATCTGAGCCAGCCTTCTGTCTCCCTGGAGTGAAACTTCTGCAGAAGACCTGTGCTTTGGTGACCGGTTTTCCCGTGTGTAGGCAAACAGGCCTAACCCGGTTTCCTAATAAATTCAATAATTTATATGAAATGGCCCAATTGCTTAAAAGAAAGCAACCACCTGAATAGCCACTCCAGCCATTCAAGGAGTTGGATTTGTAGTTAAAAAATCTTCCCAAAAATAAAATTTCAGGCCCAGATGGCTTCACTGGGGAGTTCCGCCGACATTTAGGGAAGAAATAACACTGCTTTTGCAAACCCTCCCAGAAGACCCCGGGCCCTGAGGCCCGCGCCACCGACTCCAAAACGAAGAGCTCAGGAGAAAACTACAGACGAATATCCCTCATGGGCACAGGCGCAAAAATTCTAAACAAATTTAGGAAATTGGAAACAATCTGTAAAAACGAAAATACATCTTGGCGGAAAAGCAAGGTTGGGCAGCCCTGTGACGGCCCGCGTGCCGGTCCCCGGGGCAGGAGCACCGCCCCGACCGGATCCCGCGGAGGCGGGGGCGCCCACCCTCCCCGGAGCGGCCCGTCGGCTTCCGGTCCCACAATTCCCCGGGCCGCGCGCCGGTCCCGCCCCTGGCGCAGGGCGGCCGTCCGGGCTGGGCCGCATGGGGGAGGCCGCGGCGGACGCGGGCGCGACGGCCGGGGCTTTGAGCCCCGCGGGGTCGCGAGGGCAGGAAGCCTGCCTGCAGGCGGAAGTGGCGCAGCTGCTGCCCTTCCTGGCTCCCGAGGCACGGGCAGACCTGCAGGCAAAGGCGGCGCGGCACGTGCTGGCGCTGACCGGCTCGGGGCAGGGTTGTGCGCTGCTGGCCGGCCAGGCAACGCTGCTGCGGGCGCTGGTCGAGCTGGTGGCCGCCCCGGCGCCGGCTGCGGCCCGCGACGCCGCCCGTGCGCTAGTCAACCTGGCCGCCGACCCCGGCCTGCACGAGCCGCTGCTGTCGACCGAGCCCGGGCTGCCTGCCCGCCTGCTGGAACTCGCGTTGGACCCACAGTGGCCCTGGGCCGAGGAGGCGGCCGCCGTGCTGGCCAATCTCACCCGCGAGCCGACGCCGTGTGCCGCGCTGATGGCGGCGCTGGCCGAGGAGCCGGGGGACCCCGGCCTGGAGCGGCTGGTGCGCGCGCTCTGCACGCCTGGCTACAATGCCCGCGCGCCCCTGCACTACCTGGGGCCGGTGCTCTCCAACCTCAGCCAGCGTCCCGCGGCGCGCGCCTTCCTGCTGGATCCAGACAGGTGACGTGGGGGCGCTCGCGGGGAGGGAATGGAGGTGAGCAGGGAGGCACTGAGTGGTCCCTCCCTCTAGGTGTGTGGTCCAGCGGCTGCTGCCCCTTACTCAATACCCAGACTCCTCGGTGCGCAGGGGCGGGGTGGTGGGAACGCTGCGAAACTGCTGCTTCGAGCACCGTGAGTGGTGGGGGGGCGGGCGTTGGGAGGTGGAGGCTGACTGTGCGGCCTCTCTACACTGGCCTAAATCCCTGTTTTCCTCCCAGGCCACCACCGATGGTTGCTTGGGCCCGAAGTAGACATTCTTCCCTTCTTGCTACTGCCTCTGGCTGGGCCTGAGGAATTTCCTGAGGAGGAGATGGAGTGTGAGAGACTTGGATGGAGCCTCGGGGTTGGCTGGGCAGGAAGGGAGGCCAGTAGGGCAGCAGGAAGAGAAGGAGTCCAGGTCAGGGCCCCTGTGAAGCCTCCCGCAGGGAGTTGCTGAGCACAAGTGGGGCTTGAACAAAAACAGGGTCTGGCCTAATGGCCCAGTACAGGGACTCACTGCTGCCCACGTTCTCCTCTAGGGCTGCCCGCTGACCTGCAGTACCTGCCACAAGACAAGCAGCGAGAGCCTGATGCCGGCATCCGGAGGATGCTCATCGAGGCCATCATGCTGGTGCGTATGGGTCCTGCTCGTGAATGCCACCCTCCAGTACACACACACATGTGCACACAAGGGTACTGACATCTGGGTGACCGCTGCCCTCTCCCAGCTGACCGCCACGGCACCTGGCCGGCAGCAGGTGAGGGGCCAGGGAGCCTACCTGATCCTGCGCGAGCTGCACAGCTGGGAGCCAGAGCCTGACGTTCGGGTGGCTTGTGAGAAACTCATCCAGGTGTGTGCAGGGCTTGAGGGGGGGCTGGGTGTTCACAGTGCACCAGCCAGCTGCTCACCTGCACCCCCTGCTGGTAGGTGCTTATTGGGGATGAGCCGGAGCACGGCATGGAAAACCTGCTGGAGGTGCAGGTGCCTGAAGATGTGGAGCAGCAGCTACAGCAGCTGGACAGCCGGGAACGGGAGCAGTGCGAACAGAAGCAGCAGGAGCGGGAGCTGATGCCAGAGCCACAGGCAGAGGGGCTGCATCCACCCGAGGGCCCTGCGGCCTGCCACTCGCTCCAGGCCCACCTTAGCTAGCTCATCCATCCAGGCCTCTGAAACCAGGCCTTCCTGCAGCCACCTGCAGGCCTCTGGGTTGCCTTGCTTGGAGGCTGTGCGCTGCTGAAAAGTAGAACTGCGCTGAAGCTCCAGGCTTATGCTGAGTGCTCTAGGGTGGATACCTGACAAGCGTTGGAGGGTCAGGAGCACCTCCCTGTGTCGTTGCTTCGCTTCCAGCAAGAATGCCAGCTGCTCAGAGGAAGGTTGTTCGACCAGAGCTGGCCAGGCCCTGACTCTCACTCCTCCCGGAGGATGGCGGGTGGGACTGACAGAAAAACTCTGCAAGCCTGAGAGGCCGCCTCGAGCTTCCCAGTCCCAAGGATGTTACAGGGCTCTGAGCATAGGTGGGCACCCATGTGAAAGCAGTGCCCTTGTTGCCAGTCCCACCCCAGGTCCCTTCACCCTGGGGCCCTCAGCTTGTCCTGCCTGAGACCCAGCCTCAAAGGGCTGACCTGATGCTTTCACCAGCCACAGCTTGTTGTGGGGTCTCCTAGAGCTGTGCCTCCCCTATCCTTGGAGCACTTTCTGGATGCTGCCTCCCCTTCTTCTCCTTCCTGCTTGACCTGTACTCCAGCCCTGCCGTCAGCCCCTTGCCAGCTCCTCAAGTCCTGCTTTCCAGTCCTGGGCTAACCTGATGCCCTAGTTCTCCTTGCCAGCTAGGCCCTCTTCTCTGGTCACTTTCCTGAGCCCCAGCACCTCAGAGCTTCTTGCCTACCACACTGAGAGCCTGCCCGCTGGCTCTGCCATCTTGCCCTTTTTGAAGCCGTTCCCCAGTCTACCCTATGTGCCCTGGAGCCCACTGTTGGCCCAAGAACCTGGTGATCCCCCGGCTCCGTGTTTGGTCCCCGCAGTTCCCTGTGTCCCTCACCACACTGCTCCCTTCCTGGGCCTTCCTCCTGACCCATTGCCACCCTTTGCACAGGCCCCCAGTCCCATCCCTCCCAGGCCCCCTGCACCTGGGGCAGGCTGCAGTTTGCCGCCTCAGGAGCTTGTGCATCCCTACTCAGTCCTGGAACTGCCTCCAAAGCTGGAGGTTGGCTCCACTTGTGCTTACCCATTGAGGCCAGGTGCTCTGTTGGTATCACCCTCCTCTGCAGGATGGCACCTCTGAGGGCATGGACTCCTCTGCAGTCCCCTCTGTTCCCCCTGCCCAACTAAAGCTCTGGTGTGGAGGTATGTGGACTTGTGTTTTTCCAGAATCAGGAGCACGTTGTAGCTCCCCAAGGCTGGGTGCATTTCCTGCACTAAGATGTCCATATCATTGGCTCTAGAGAATATACTCATTATCTGGCCTTACCCCTTCCCACCTGTCCACCCTCAGTTGACCAGGTAGTGTTTGCGCACACTCCTGACAGCAGCCACAGTACAGCCACAGTGGCTGCCTGGAGGCATCGGTCTCTGGACGGGCTGCTCTTGTGCTCAGGACCCCCTGCCTGGCAGAGCCTGCACCTCCTCTTGAGCAGGCCTCTGGGAACTCATGTGCTGCAGCAGAGTCACTCTTGGCAGGGCGCCCTGCTTCTGGGGTGCTGCAGGAGCAGGCTTGGGGGCTCTGAGTCTGTGCCCAGCTCCACGTCATCCGGGGGCACTGGGGGCTGGGACTTCCTGGTCTCTGCAACCAAACACAGTTGGGTGTCAGGAGCCCACCTGCCGACTGGGGCCCCGCCCCACCTAGCTAGGTGCATGTGTGTGCATGCGTAGCATGCAGCAGTGTGGGGCCACCTGCTGCAGGCCCAGGCGTGCATGGGGTGCAACTGCAGCCAGCCCTGGATCAGGTCCTGACACTGGGCAAGGGCTCGTGACTTTGGCCTCCAGTCATCTGCCCTCTTGTGCCCCCAGCCTGTGCTTGCCACTGCCCTCAATGCTGACGGCTCAGAGGAGCCATCTCATTCAGCCTGGAGAAGGGCCCGAGTGTGTCCCCAGCTTATCCTGGGCGTGGGCCATGGGTCTGAGTCAGACTCCCCCATCCCAGCTCAGTGCAGTGCTCAGGCTGGTCCCCAGTCTGGGTGGGGGTGGATGCCAGGGCGGTCTCCTCCTGCTGCTCCTCTGCCACGCAACATGACCCTGCTCCTGTGCTCAGGTCTCTCGCTGCCCGCTCCAGACTGCAGATAGGGCTTGGGAAAGACACAGGATGGCAGCACCTGAGGGTCGGCCTAGCCAGCAGGTGGAGCCCTGGTGCCTCAGGGGCAGCGTGGTGGTGCTGGTGTTCCTTGATGGGCAGCTTTCCGGTCACCGTGGCATGGAGAACACCTCTGAGGGCAGGGACTCCTCAGGGCATGCCCCCTCTCCTGCCCTCCCGTGGGTCCTGGCCGTGGGCCTGGGGTGGCACTCACAGGCTGCACAGGTCTGCCTGCACCCCACTACACTTCTTGCTCATGAGGGTCTTGAGGGTTGTGTAGACCACGGAACAAGATGCCCAGCAGTGAGTTCTTGAGCCCTGACTGGTTGGCGAAGCTGAAGTCTGCAGAGAGGGCAGGACTGTGTGTGAGAGGCTGGGGTGTGATGGGTGGGATCCAGGCAGGTGGTTGTTGGGTAGATGGGGAGCACTGTGTGTATGACTGCAGGTGTGGCTGTGGGCAAGGCGGTAGCTAAGCAGGTGGAGTCGGGCTGTGGTGAGGTTGGGTGTGGGTCTTCATGGAGAGCTGCTGATGGTCAAGCTAGGCTGGGGTCAGAAGTGGGGCAGGCCAGGGTAGAGGCTGGGTGCCCGGCTGGAACGGGCAGGTAGGAGTCTCCTGCAGAAGTTGAAGGCTTGGGTCGAGTCAGGCAGGGTGGGGATGGCAAGCTCACAAATCAGCTTTAGAAAGCCCTGGTCATCCAGCAGGGTGGGCTCACACTGTAGGTCCCTGATCAGAAGGGGAGGTGTTGCTGGGCCTGGACTCAGCTAGGCCTCTCCATGCATGCGGGTGGGCAGGCCAGTTGCACCCTCACCAGTGTACAATGCCCAGGTTGTGGCAGTGGGTCACAGCCCAGACCAGCTGCCATAACAGCCATCAGGCCTGGAGACTGGTGGTCGGGCACTTGATATGCTCCAGCAGGTAGCCATGAGCTGCCAGCTCCGGTATCAAGTAGGCACGCTGGCTGTTCTGGTAGGTCTCATACAGCTGCACCTGCCAGGCCCCATCCACCTTGCTAGGGCCTCAGGATGCCAGGTGGGAACTCTGTCCCCAGTGGGCACAGCCAAATTTCTGACGTCTTGCTGGGACTGGGGCAGACGCAGAGGAATGACCAGGGCTGAAAAGTCAAGAGTGGGAGGCTGACCAGCTGAGGACTAGCAGCGGGAGGCAGGCTCTGGGTAAGCAGGGGTAGATTCTAGAGTGGAGGGTTCTGGAGCTGTACCTGCATTGTGCCTTCAAAGGGGGTGTCCTGTCCCTCGGGACGTGCCTGCCCTTTGTAGGGCTCATTCTCTGTGGGGTGAGAGCCCCCAAGGGCTAGTGCCAGGGTGAGGCCTGTGTGTGTCACTTTGGACGTGTCTGGCCACAAAAGGCCTTTAGAGAAGCAGGTGGGGAGGGGTGAACACAGGAAGCTGAGTGGGGTTTCTAAGGACACAGGGAAGGGAAAAGAGGGTACATTGTGCCAGCAACCAATTCAAGTGCACCCCTGGTCATCTGAGAGAATACCAAGGTGGTAGGTGGATGGGCCGCAATAGGAGCTGAGCCAGAATTACAGCAGGGAAAGGGGGAGCCACCCAATCTACCCCTGCTGAACCCTCAAAGCCTCTCCCACCGCTGCAAGAGGCCTTTCACTCAGTCTGCAGACTTGATGGCACATTCCCAGGGCGAGCGAGGGCCCCTGGCCTGAGCTCTCGCACCCTCCAGCTTCAGGGGAGAGGAGCCAACGTGGCCCCTCCCTTCTCCTGCCCTAGGGGTGTCTTGGGAACGGTTTCCCCAGGGAGCAGCTGTTAACTCCGACTGCGTGCTGGGAGCTAGGTGCTGTTCCGAGCAGTTAGCAGCTACAACTAACACCTCGTGCAGCCCCACCTCCCACTCAGCCCACACCCGTGTGCCTGTCCTACCGTCAGGGTCTCAAGTTGGAGCAGAACCAAATATGCACATTTTGCAGATGACGCAGAGGCCCAAATACTCGGTCTGTCAGCGGGATGGCAAAGCGGCTGTGGGCTGCCATCCTGGGCGTGTCCCAGGAGGGCTATTTCTTGATGGAGGCCAGATGGGTGTCTGGATTTGTCCTGCACTGGGATTGACGGTGGGTGTAGACCTTGGATGCCTGAGCTTGAACTGGTGAAATATCCTCGTTGGGCCATGAGCTGCTTGAGAGCAGGGCTTGTGTTTGGTATTCCCTCACTCACCCATAGCCCCTTTCTGACATACTGCCTTAATATGGAAAATGTGGACACATTAACTGGTTTATTGCTGACCTGGGAGTTAGGAAAAGAGAAACTACTCTGGTCTCTGGTATTTCAAGCAGAAGAGTTGTTACTCGGGTATTGGAAGAGCTGGAGCAGCGCACAGAAAAACCCACTCCCGTCAAGGGTGGCTGTGCCGCTCAGCTGCTGCTGGGGCCTGGGGAACCGTGCCCCTCCTGCCTGCCTGGCTCCACCACAACCCAGCTGGAGGGCAGCAGTGCTGCACTGAGATGGCAGGCGGGATCCAGGAGGGCCACCAGCTCTGTTTCCCCTGCTCTTGTGGTCTTATGTCCCTTTCACTGTACCCTAGACCATCCGCCTGTTCCACGAGGCTCACTGGACACCCATCGCATGCTGGCTGGTGCTGAGCACTTGGGAGTCAGTCCCGGAACTGGCCTTTCTCCCGTAGGGCTTTCTGCTGCAGAAGGGAGCCTCGGGTGCGGGGTAGCTTTGGGTGCACAGGGAGTGAAAAGGTCCGGCTGAGGCTGGGGAAGGGGCAGGGCCAGCAGAGCGTGCTGGGCACTGGCCGTGAGGAGCTTCGGCAAGGCTTAGGCAGGAGGGTGAGAAGCCCAGGTGTGAGCTTGGGAGAGGCCTCCTGCCTCCCTCCCTGGCAACTTCCATGTGCCCAGGTTAGCTCCTCCCCACTCCTGCCCGGCAGGGTGGGTGAGAGGCCCTATCCTGTCCGCTCCAGCCCTGCAACGGAAACAGGCTGAAGCCCACCTCTCTGTGGAAAAGCGAGTCCTCCCTGCCCCGTTCAGCCGCTACCCTGCCCCAGTGCCCCCCGTGGGTCCCCCCTTTGCCTCCTCACACCCTGGTGCTCTCGCTGGCAGCTCTCTGCAGAGCCAACCCACAGCGAGACCCGGCGGCGGACCGCGGCGGACTACTACTTTCTCAAACCACTTTTTTCAGGTCCTGAGCTTCGAGAGCGACACCAACTCCTTTATTTCCGTAAACAAGTCCAGGCGCTCTCAGCCTCGCAGTCCGCCCATAACGCAGGTGCCTGTCCCCGCGTCTTCCGCTCGGCCCGGTGGCGCTCCTCCACAACACTTAGTGCGTTAGTCACCGTTTACTGCTTATTACCTGCCTCTCCACATCCGAGGTCCCCAATGCAAAGACGCGGTCGTCCTGATTCGCATGGTCTCTTGGTAGGACTGAACGTGTGCCTTGCGAGAGCGCGCGCGGAGGACTCGGCCGCCCCGGGGCCTCAGGAGTGTTCGTTGGGCGTTCAGTGTGTCTGTTCATGTGGGAGAAATATAGAGCGTGGCAGTGCCCGTGTGTGCCCAGGTCGGGCCAGGTGTGCACCTGGACAGGTATGTGTTTGCAAGGGAACCAGCTTTGGGCACAAAGGCGTGAGGAGCCCGCGTCTCCAGCCCATCCCTCGTGTGTGCGGCGGTGTCTGTGAGCGAGGTTCTTCGGGGTTTAAGTGTCCGATGGGAACACGGAGAAGAGTGGGAGAACCCCCCGGGTCCGCGCGGAGGGAGCGCAGGGGCCGGCGGCGCTCACGCCCAACAGCCACTGGCGGGCGGCCGGCTGGCTGCCTGGGCGGGGCGGAGCGGAGCGTGCGCACTCCGGCCCGCGGAGGCTCAGTGGGCGGGGCGCAGAAAGCGAGAAGGACGCGCCTCCGACCAATGAGCGCAGCGAGTGCGTGCGGGCGGGGAGGGCTGCGGCGCGCAGGGCCACGGTTGGCCGGGGGCGGAGGGGCGGGCTCGGCGCGCCGACACGCCCGCTCCGGACCGCGGCTGGGCGCGAGGGCGGCTCCCGGACCGCGGCCGCGGCGGCGGCGGCTCAGGTAAACGACCGGCTGGGACCCGCGGCTGGCGGCGCTCGCTCAGGGAGGCGTCCCTCGGGGAGGCCGGGCCGCGCGGGAGGCCGAGTCAGAGGGTCAGCGGGCCGGCGCCGGGCGGCTCCCGGGCGTCGCGGGGCCGAGCCCGCTCCCTTCCCCGGGCTCCGGTGCGCCCAGCGCCTCGCAGAGCTGCATTTGCCGCGTCACAACCCGGAAGAGGCCCGCAAGCCTAGCAGCTCACGTTCTCACCCACGCCGGCGCGGGGTGTCCGGTCCCGGTTGTCGAGCCCTCACAGGATAGGACGCGGGTGCCTGGTGTTCGTGCTCGTCCCCTCCCTGGAGGGCAGGAGGTCCCCAGTCCTAATGCCTGCCACCTCCCCGGGGGCATGGGGTCCATGTCCCTGCCCGCCCAGGGGGTCCTCTCCACGGGAAGCTTAGCCTGAACTCCGAGTGTCCCAAAGCGCCGGGGCCGTTTTCCCTGACGTTAAGGGAGGCGGTCTGGAGCAGGGGGCTAATTTGTCCAGTCACGGGATTATCGGCCACGGGTCTTGAAGCCGGAAGAGCAGTGGGCGGTGCAGCTCTCAGTCAAGTGAGCGCCAGGTGGTGCTGGGTCAGGGCTGGCCCCCAGTCCCTGGGCTCCTAGGTGCGGTTCTGGTTTCCGATTTTCCAGCAGCACGAGCTCAGCTGCAGTGCAGTGTTGGGGCCCGAGGAGAGGGCGCTGTGCGCGCCGGCAGTTCCCAGCTACACACTTAGGGTGGTTCCCCTTTGCCAGCCCAGCCAGGGTTGGGGTGGGACCGACCTGTGGGCTCCAGAGCACTAGGGCAAGCATAAAGCGGTGGGGGGGGGG